CAATTCGGAAAAAGATACTGCTGCAGGTGTCCTGCATATGCTTCATACACTATGTAGTAGCAACACTGATCCAAAAGTATGTGACAAAGCATAGGCGTAGGAACGTTTCAAGAAGTGGGGGCCAAGCTAAGGGCGCACCTCAGCAACTTTTTCTGGAAAGCAAGCCCAATGACCGGAGGGGGGAGGGGGTAGAGATGGAGATCGTTATCGCTCTTTATTCAAATGTTATGGCTATGCTAGACATGCATCTAGAGCTGTTTCTCGCTGGTGCACAATTTTGCCTATTCGACTCGTTTGTCATTTGGCAAATAAGGCTATCCAGCTTCCCAAGTTTATTCGTCCACATTAATATTGTCTTTCCTGGGGAGGCAAAATCCACGAGCGGGTAGGCGTTTTGGGTCATCGAGGAGACATCTACATCCACAGTGTGGACGCCAAAATACAGCCTGGATATAACCTGATGAGAATTTTGAAAGTGGATCGATGGCTCACAGTGCGCCAGATTTGTCATGCGCTTTTGTTTCGCTGGCTGCGTTTCAAGAGATAAGACTTGCAGCAGAATTTTAGGCGGAAACAAATTTGGACGCTTGAAACTGCTAGAAGCAATGTGACAAAAGCCGTAAGACTGAGGATTCTCTTTTGAGAACCAAGCCACATGATGAGGCCCATTTGTCATATGGTCCTTTTATGGACCCTGCTCCTGTTCGCCGTCGGTAGCCACTGCCCTGGCCCGGATGTCTTCCGCACGGCTGTCTACAAACTGATCGTACGGCTGCTTTGTTGCATCGCATACTTTTGGATCAGCTCTACTACTACATAGCGCATGAAACATGCGTTGGATACCTGCAACAGCATCTTTTTCCGAATTATCTTCCCTGATACTACACCATCGCAGAAAAATAGCCTCCGGGAAGCTGTCTCCCTTGGTGTAAATTGGCCCAACGGACACTTCATTGCCCATCATGGAACGTCTACGCCTTGATCTGCTTTTGTGTGTAGGCAGGGGCACAGCCAGGGCCTTGCCAAGGGGGAATACGAGGTTAACAAAAACCCATCTCATGGTGATCCCTCCAAAATCCCCAGATATAGCTTACTTGTTAACAAGTGACACCGTTTATTCGTTGTATTGCTATTTTTACCTTGTAACCAGAACAGAAATCAGAAGCTACTATGAGCTCAGTTTTGTCTGCATAGGTCAATAAACTGCAGAAATCAGGCGATGAAGGATGAAACGATGAAGTCACCGGCGCACTCAATTTACAATGGTCAGTTGACTTTTTATAAGCCGATAGAATGCAGAAGCTTTGTCAGAATTGTTATCTGGGTTTTTACAGGCATTGGGGACATCGCGAAGGTAGATTGTAAATCGATATGTTTGATCCAAAGTCGAAGATGACAATTTGATTGCAGATTAAGAGGTCAACAATGTGTATTAGCATGGCCAAGCCATGTTTGTCCGAAAATGTTCACCATTCAGCCAATATCAATCACTGATACAATTTATGTCACGTGTTTTTTTTTAACATGCGCGCTCGCAAATCTTAGCAACGAAAACTTTGACTTCATGCGTTGCAGTCTCCATAGTCCGCTGAGCGTTAGCCCAGCGGCTAACTTTTAGCCGTGGCCAAGCGGTGCACGAAAATGATGACGCTTCTGAATTGATTACCTTTAAACACTTAAATCCACTGGTAATACAAGTTATGCGACGTAATTTTGAGCATGCGCACTCGAAAATCTTAGAAACGCAACCCTCAACCCCAGGCGTTCCAGTCCCCGCAGGCTGAGCAGCGTCGGCCTAGCAGCTGATACCAAGTTGCGGCCAACGGGTGGACGAAAATGACGATGCTTCTGAAAAAGTACCCTTGAACGTTTCATGACATCAGTTCTTACATTTAGAGGGCATTCTGAGCGCATATTTCACGTGTGCAATTTTTAGACTGATGAAAAGAACGGATTGGCTCTTAAAACACCGCGAAGTGAGGCTGTAATCTGGTGGTTGAATTGGAAGAGTGAGCGTAGAATCTCTATTTTTCGTGTTTTTGCAGATGTTTATCTATCCAGAAGACAGATTAACACAGCGCCCGCCGTCTGGTTGTGCTTGCAGTAACCGAAACTTTTTGGTTGTACGGAAGTTGCAGCCCAGATCATCCTTGTCCTTGCCATCGAGGTTGCAAGCTGGCATGTTCAAGCCTTTTGATGCAATTTGCTTCAATAATACATTCTGATAAACTGGACGTTCTCAGGTAAACATGGCATGACCCTGCTCAGTTTTTAAGGTCATTTCGACCCACCCTATTCAACAATAATGACACCTCCACTCTACTCAACAATAATGAGACCCCTTATTTCCTTCGGGCAAGGGACCTCGTAAGTAGAACACGAGGGGTACATTACCGTTTGCAGTCAAGGGCTGAAGGGCCATTCCGTCTCATCGCGAAGTGTCTTCTGGCTATCATTCTTGTGACACGGAGCGGGATCTCCTGGTCGATCCAGAGACCATAACACGGGAACCCTCATTGACGCAGCAACATTCCTGATCGCCGCAGGTAGTCCAATAATTGCCACATAGACTCCAGTTCCGTGTTTTTTTCTGTGTTCTTCATAGATATTGAGGTCTCCCTGACCATAGATTGTAAATGGTATGGGGCTCCTAATTTGTATTAGCGTGGCTAACGCATGTTCGTCTTAAAATGCTCAAGATCATGTCAGAGCTGATCGCTGATAAGAAAACTAGGTAATATGGTCTTGAACACGTGAGCTCGTAAAATATAGCAATAACAGCATCGACGCCCGGCGTTGCAGTCTCCAGGCCGTGCGGCGTAGGCTTTGCGGCTTAACACTAAGCGATGGCCAACGAGCAAACGAACAAGATGACGTATCTTAAGGTAGATGGCTGGTGAACTAGACAAATAGACGTGCGTGCTGTTTGTAGTGCAAAAGTAAGTCAAATGCAACCCTAATCTGAAAAGTGGGGGGCATGGCCCCCTTGCCTCCCCCTCCCCCCCCCCTGTTCCTACGCCCATGCAACAAAGTAGTCATACGATCAGCTCGCAGTCAGTCATGCGGGGCACATCCGGGCCGGGGCGGCGACCACCGACGGCGAACAGGAGCTGGGCCCAGATCAGGAACATATGACATATGGGCCTTATTATGTGGCTTAGTTATTAAAAGAGGACCTCCAGTATTATGGCTCTTGTCCTTGTTTCTAGCAGTTTCAAGCTCCAGAATTTGTTTCCGCCTAAAATGCTGCGACAAGTCTTATCTCTTGAAAAGCAGCCAGCGAAAGGAAGGCGCCTGAAAAATCCGTCGCACTGTGAGCCATCGATCCACTTTCAAAATTCTCACCAGCCTATATCCAGGTCTCATTTTTGCATCTACACTATGGAGGCAGGTGCAGAAAATGGCCGAATAATCTAGGGAAGCTGGATAGCCTTATTTGTCAAAAGACAGATGATTGGAATAGGCAAGATTGTGCACCGGTGAGAAACAGCTAAAGATGCATATTTAGCATAGCAGCCATGACATTTGAATAAAGAGCGATAACAACCTCCGTCCCTACCCCCACCCCTCCCCGTTCCACGCCCGGGCTATCAGGCTCGCTTTCCAGAAAAAGTTCCTGACGTACACCCTGAGCTTGCCCCCCCCCCCCCCCACTTTTTAAACGTTCCTACACCTATGCGTGCAATCATGTAGTGGTCGACCGGCTGACTGGGAAAGCACAGGGTTCGCATGAGGCCAATTTCTATGTCGGTTTGCAGCAGAATATAAATAGGTGAAAAGGTCACGGCAACGCGATGGGTGTAGTGGGCCTTCCTCCATTATCCACCCAGGCCGTGTTCTAGCCACAGCTCAGGCGCCGTGTCAGTGGTTGGCTTCCACCTCGGAAACTTGGCCGCCGCCTCCCCTTGCCGATTCCATTCCGACCTGAATAGTTTTTCGCGCTTCGACCATCCATCTGCATTCATGGCACCGGACCAAATTGCTGGTCGCGCTCGACCGAGCCGCAAAGGCCGGGCCGATGGCGCCATCTAACGGGAAAACTTTTAATTACACGTTCTTAATTTTGTCACGTTGGTTCGCGAGCCACCTGTCGCCCCAGCCATGCAGTAATCAATAGTCGCACACCTAAGTGTGATGACTCGAAAGGTCTCTGAACGTCTCGGAAGCCACTGCGAATTACAAGTAAGACAAATGCCAACAGAACTGTAGGACGCGATCGCCGTGGTGAGGCACCCGGGACGGCGGGCTCGCCCGATGACCGATGACGGTAGGGTCTGGAAGCAGCCCTACATTCCAACCGTCACTGTTATCCTCTATCTCGTTTCATCCTGCATCCTCGCGGCACCCCGCTTGTCCGGGGCAGGCCGCATGCGACAGCCACGAGAAGGTCGAGGGTCCGTGGGAAGGAGAGCCCCGACCGGGTGCCCAGTGCACAAACGAGGGTTAAGGCTCGGCGGTTGGCCCCTGAGGCGCGTGTACGCCTGCCCCACCGTTAACCACTTTTATTTATCCCATGGCCCTGAAATGATCATTTCTGGTCAAAAGGGCTCCAATCTAAACAACCTAAACCTGCATTCCTTCGGCCAGTCTTCACCAGAAGCCTGAAGCAGTACCTACACCGGAAACAGGAGCGGAAGAGCGAAAGATTCAACCGTCTCCATGTCGTTCCCCCTGGATCGGCCTGGCTGCACCGTCAGCTGCCACCAGCCGCAGCGACGGCCTCCCTCACCGACCAGTGCCAGCCGGTGCGCTCCGTCTCTCCGGCCTTCAGCTGGTGCCACGCCAACCGAGCCCACACGGTCCGACCAACGTGCACTGACGGCCACCAGCGAGATCCCTCGAGCGTGCACACCGACCAGCAGCGCCGCTCGATAAGATCCCCACGCCAGGCTGGCAGCCTCACAGCGTCGGCGCCGCTGCCGACCGCGCCGTCGCTGGAGCCGCGTCCTCCTCCGCCGCGTACGGCAGCCTGCCCGCCGCCGCAGCCGCCATACCCGCACTCAGCACACCTCCAACATATATTCACACTACAGCCGGCCAGCCCGCCACCAGCGCATCTCCGCACCACGCCGAGCCAGGTCAAAAGGCGTCGATCTTGGGCGGTGGTGCGTACCGCTCCTTCAACTCGCCGGCCTTGTACTGTCGTTTCCGCTCGGCTCGCATCTCCTGCACCCGCTTGACCTGCCGACAGGGAGGAGACACTGAGCGCGCGCGCACGGCCCCGGCCACCGGCGCCGAGCGGCGAGGACGACGCGCCAAACTGTCGCGGAAAAACGCTTTTTAAAAGATTTAGCGCGCTGAATTTCTTTCGCGTAGAAACACGTACCATGTTGCGGCAATTCTCCTGATCCGCATGGCATGATTCTTGTCATCGTTCGCCCTTTACGTCGCACGATGCATCCAAAGTTTCGGCTTCAACACAGAACACAATGGGGCTCCCACATCACCACCAGGTACGTCGCTGCAGCAGCACTCAGCGCTCCAGTGCGGCAGTGGCGTTTACCACGCAAGGAACATAACTTAAGTGATTACTGCAAAACCCACGGCAGTGGACCTCAAATGACATTCGTGTGACGGGGATGTCACGTCACGATCCGACACACTTCAGCAGACACACAGCCATAGTTTGATACGGATGTGCATGATGCGTATCAAACTCACCTTCGTCTCAGCCGCAGCAAATCACTGACACACCAAAGCACCGTGTGATACGTCCCCTCTTCAAACCCCTGCGGTCCAGCCCGTATCCAGGGAGTCATCTTAACGCTGAATGCCCACTCCATCCTCTCCGCTACAAACTACCCCGGTCCACCGACCCCGATCTCGTACAGTAACAACTGCGTCTCCGATTCGACCGTTACACCACGGGATCCTCGGGAAGAATGCCACGCTTCTTCACATCCGTGTGCCCCCTCCCCCCGTCAACAGCAGCCCCTCTCCCAACGGGGCGGTGAATTCGCACCTGCTTGGTCATCCGCGAGCACTCCATTAGGTCGTTGAAGTAGACGCGACACTCCTTGGCCCCGCGGTGCGGCCCGTACGCCTCCATGCAGTCTCCGAATCGGGCCTCGAAGTCCTGGCACTTGAAGCCAGACTGGTGCGTCATGACGCAGCCGAAGATGTCGGTGAACGGGTTGCGGAAGAGCGGCGCCCAGCCCTTCAGCTCACCAAGCCTGGCGCACAGCGCGGTGACGGTCAAACGGGTCGGGCCGGATATGCTCGGCAGAGGGGACACATTGGGCAGAGGGGACATGCTGGGCAGAGGGGACATGCTGGACAGACGGGACGTGCTGGGCAGAGGGGACATGCTGGGCAGAGGGGGGCATGCTGGGCAGAGCGGACATGCTGGACAGAGGGAACATGCTGGGCAGAGGGGGGCATGCTGGGCAGAGGGGACATGCTGGACAGAGGGGACATGCTGGGCAGAGGGGACATGCTGGGCAGAGGGGACACGCTGGGCATAGGAGACATGCCGGACACAGGGCACACACTGGATGGAGGGGACATGCTGTGTGTGCCAGGTGGGCTGGGCAGATGGGCAGATGGAGAGCCCCAGGCTGGGCAGATGAAGTACACATGACAGGCCAAGTGGATGGAACCCAGAACAATAATTTCAAGGGAAAAAAAATTTCAAAAAAAAATGTTACACAAACTCAAGCATGATGGTCAACACAGAAGGTGCGGTGAACCCACCACAGTCATTCCATTCCCCGCCTTCTCAGCACAGCCAGGGTGTGACAAGGTGACTGATGTGTGCATGTATGCCATGTGACCCAACACCTGGTGCTGTAAGACTGATTTTGGGTGATCAGTAGTCAGACAGGCAACAACATAAGTAATCAGTGAAAAGTAGAGCAATACACAATAAATGAGTAGACCATTGTGACTACACAACACAAAGGGCACTGTAATGTGATGTGCTGACAGAGAGCTGGGCTTCAAAATCAGTCTGCTGTTTGAGTGAATCTGAAAATGAAGGATTTGTTCTCCCTGCTGGCCTGATGCGCCATAAGCAAAACTTCACAGATTTCAATAAGACTTTGCCAGAACAAAGATAAGGCAGAATTACTGATTGGGATAGACAAAAAATCATGCAAAATGACTTATGGTAAGGGAAGGCTTGAATTATCAGTTATGGTTAAAGAAACATTAGGCTCATTTTGGTGTGATGGGTAAATGCCTGCTACCCCAACTGGGAGGGTAGTTTCCCAAATTATGATGATGAAAATGGAAGAATCTGAGTCAACCATTTTACAGTCTCTGTGAAATGCATTTATGTCTCCATTAATGTGCCCCCACTTAAACATTTGCCAAATGCTTCTGGTCATCCAGTTGTGAATTCTGTGCAAACACAATCTAATTTACTTGTCGTCTTCAAGAAAAAAAACTTGGAAATCATCATGTCACGTGAGGCCAACACTCCACAACTCACATTATTCAAATTCATAGAAACTGTTGGTTAACTGTTACATTGCCAACATTTTGTGCATGCTATATTATCTTGATGAGTTGTGTATATATATATATATATATATATATATATATATATATATATATATATATATATATATATACATATATGTGTGTATGTGTGTGTGTGTGTGTGTGCATGTGTGCATGTGCATGTGTGTGCATGTGCGCAGGTACACATGTGCGCATGTGCGCAGGTGTGTATACCTCCAGTCATGGCAATTAGGGAAAAAGGGTCTCCTCAGTAATATTTTTCAGACCAAAATATATTGGGCAAAGAACACCAAGAGGCATCCATATTGAATATACTTGGCAATATTTAACAAACTCCTCATATCATCAATAATAATCACATGTCTGTAGTCTACATAGTAGGTGTTTCCCATTTTTCCCCTTTGTAGATCACTCTGCAGTAAATTATGTCTTTGGTACACTTAGCCTGTAGCATGCCTGTGCTGAGCTCAAGACAGGAAAACAACTATGGTAAATTCACTTGTCAACTTGCTTGAATAAGTTTTGGGTGAGCCACTATTTGAAATTACCTTAGCCGCATCATGATTCCATGAGACAATGGCTTCCTGTGTGCTAAAATTGGTAGTGTTCATGTGCCAAAACCTAAACCCTTGGATTAAGGAGCATATGGACTAATGTATTGTTAGGATGCTGCTGCTTTAACATGTATAACATGTTTTGTTAAGTCTGGCTTGAAGAGTCTTGATTGCTTACTTGCAACCAGGGTACTAGTCAAAATGTACATGCATATAGAGTTGTCTTTTATGCTGAATGCACTGGGCAATGTCTTTGTCATCCAGAATCCAACCTGCAAGAAATCCATCTGCAGTGCTGAGCTCTTACATTATATTGGTGCATTAAAACTGGAGCATGTGTGCATCAAACCCAGAACAAGCCAAACAGTGCTGAACATTCAAATTGTTTTTGCTTGAAAACTGTTGTGGGGTATGTTTCTTTGACAGTTTCATTTCAGCACCATACTTCCTCGGAACATTGGCTCTATATGCGGCAAAATTGGTAGCAACCATGCACCAAACACATGAGCCTAACATTACAGTGAAACATGCTCTGAAATTAACTTTCATGCCAATCATTCTAACATCCTGGCAACTTCAAATCTTAGGGATGTTACTGCTATACCACAAAATGTAACATGTGCTTTTTCAGCCTGGTCCACAATGAGGTCATGGTGGAAATGGGCCACTGAAACAGTCTGATCTGTCCTGGCACTAAAATATAAGTTGGCTTGCTGCCAACACAATGTGCAGCTAGTCCATCCTGATCATTACACACAAGATAGAAGGCTTTAATCTTCATGCTCCAACTGGGATGCCGCTGACATGTACCTAAAATTGAAGGATGAGCTTGGAGAAAACAGAAAGCATTATGGATCCCACCGGAATCAGTCGAGTACGGATCAGACAGTACAAAAATCGCAACATGCTTACTTCCAAGGATCGGTCAGCACATCCCTCGCCATTGCACGACAGTTTTAAATGGAGAAATAGGAGACGAGAGCAAACTTATAATCGCCTCAGCGTTGAACACGAACAGAACAGCCTTCTTCTTCCTCGATCCCTCGACAAACCCACAGTTTTTCGATAAACTTCACTCCATGAATGATACAAGAGCGTCATAAATGTATTCGTGCAATGTCGGAAAATTTTCTTTCCAGCGATGCTGGGAGAAGGTTACAGCTGTTGATGCACAAAAGAATAAGTAAAAGAGAGGGTAAAATTTACATTTGATTTGTATCAAAAGGCCCAGTTTTAGCCATGATATATCATGGGCTAGTATGGTTTGCATAGTATATCGTGGTCAACATGATATAGGCAAACTTTAAAAGCCAGTTCTCCTCTTCCTCTGATTTATGTTATGTAAGCGTCAGTATATATGTCACAAAAGCAAAACATTTTAGAACCAAGATTTAACATAATTTTTGTTTAAGATCCTAATTCAATCACAGAAAAGTAGTCCCTTATCTTGAAACTGGCACGCGTAGCTCTGCACATGCCACAGGTTATCTGTCCATTTGTTTACGCGGAGAAACTTCAATGATGCTTCAAAAAATAACATTTTCAGCTTTTTTCTTAAGTTGCATGAAGAAACTGTTCAGTGCATAGGTCTAAAACATGTTCTACTGTTCCTGGTTCTTCAAAAGAAAAAGCGTATATGTTGTAAACAGCTGACGAAAACTACACTAAAGTTCGATACAATGTAGGAAGCTGATGCACTAGCATTCGCGCACATATGTGCCCTTCAACTTGGCTGGGGCTCAGCAGTTACAGCCCAGTGCTCGTAGTGTTGGGTGGTGTACGGTACACGGTGTCGAACGTAGTGATATGGTTTGAGAGCACGTGGACGGCTTGTGCTGAAGCATTTTAAACTCAGATAGTGTCAGAATAACAGATAAACAGAAGATATTGTCACTATCAAGGTGACGGTTGAATTTTAAATCAGTTTCTGGACCCGGTTCAGGTATGCAGTCAGGATTTTTGTAGCGAAGGGCCGCGAAATATCCAGGCGTCATTGGTGTGATCGCGGCCCGGTCCACCTAGCTTCTAGAGGGGCTGGTCCCTCTTGGGAGGCTGTCTCCTCCGTCGTACATGGGCTCTCGTAGTATCCTTGGCTTGCGTGTGAGTCTCGTTTGGTGTGCCACACTGAGCAAGGTGAGGTATGATGTTTTTTGGGAACTCGTATTCCTCGCTCTCGCTTTCGCCTTCCGTGCCCTTGACGTTTACCCCGAGGGAAGAGCACGGCCTCTGCCAGCAGTCTGCGCCTCTGGCATCTGTGCGTGCGACCATTATGACGACGAAGACCTCACACCCATCTCTATGTGTATGCTTGTATGATTATGCGGCGTTGTCCCCCGTCGATTGCTGGTATCGGTATGAGATCAGCTTCGAGGGGAGACGCTGCTCCGGGAAAACTTTCGACATGCAAAACCTGCGCTCGGTAGACTTACTCTTGGAATACCTACGCTCGTTAAACCCACGCTCGGAAGACCTATTTCTGGACGTACACTCGCCAAATCTATTGCTACTACCCCCCCCCCCCCCCCCCCCCTGGACTGTCTTGACTCGCACACACCAATAGGTTTTCGCGGAGTAGGGTACGTCTTTTGGAACGTCTTTTAAGTGCAGGCAGCTATTCCGGGGCTACGTATTGTGGTAGAAGGTCTTCCCACCGTAGGTCTTGCGGGCGTAGATATTCACAGCAAATGGTCTTCCGAGCGTAGATCTCGCGGGCGCAGGTACCCACAGCAGAGGGTCTTCCGAGCGTAGATATGCTGAAAGCCGACCTTCCCGACAGTAGGTCTTCCGGAACTATGTCTTCCGACTCTCACCCTTCGTATGGGTAGCCGTTCCAAGCCAGTGTTTCAGTTCCGTGCTCTCGTGAAACGCTTTCATCGTGTATTTAGTTTTAAGTTTTTAACTCTTGTCCGCCGGACCCTACATGAGCTCGTGCAATCCGCAAAAAGTCTGCAAAAGTCCGCCCGTCCGTTAAAAGTCCGTTTGAGTCCGTCAAAAGTCCGAAACCGGTAGATGCGTGTCCTGCACTCGGGTGCCCGTGACCTGCCGCGCACAGTGGGGCATCTGTGCCTATAGGATGGCCAGTTTCTCAGTCCATTTGCGTTGGCCCGGTGTGGCCGCAACTCTAAGTTGTGGGGATTGGCGGCGGTATTGAGCCCAATGTGCAGTGTTTCCGCAGTTAGCAAATGTTACGTTCCTCACGTTAGCCGTGAGCGCGAGTTCAAATTTTGGCCAGATTTTAATACTTCGGAAAACGCTGTGCCTTGTCAAATATCTGCGGTGTGCCTAGAAAGCGACACTTCAGAGCCTGTTAAGCGTCACACTGCACGCTGCTAAAGTTGCGTTTCTCTGTGAGCAATGGCGGTAAATGCATGCACGAGGCAGGAAAAAGCGACATGGATAGCCGCTACTTAAGACCTAATGATGCTAGTGCCAGACGGAAATCGGCGCCGCATAGTCGGCGCAACCCCGTCTTATCAGTGTCCTGGACATAAGCATATGTTGGTGCCGTGTAGCGAGGGCAAGTGGACCTCCTACAACTTGCAGAGCCCAGCGCTGCCTGAGCTACATGTCCCGTACAGTGACAGGAAAGCAGGTAACATCGTCGTTTCATAATGGCTCTCCAGCCTCAACCTCAAACCCCGTCCTACGTTTGGCTATGCAAACCGCGTTGTCCTTTTTCGGACTGGATGATAAACGTTTTTTCGACCATTGTTTTTCGGACATTGCTTCGGGCCGCGCCTGCCTAAGCTAGGTCGTCGGTGTGGTCGGCTGAAGGCGATGTATCAGTGAGAACAGATAGGACTGCGAACAGGGTCGTATGAGAGGTTGTTTGGTGAGTGCTGCACCGATGAGCATTTTTCCTGCTAAGCTCGCACGATAGACGAGCATGTTCAATGACACCATCACCTCGCCAGGATTTCAGGAGTCTGGCTACGTCCGCTTAGGTTTAAGCATCATGTGATACGATACGACTTTTCTGTCATCTGGCTCGTCCCCCCCCCCCTCCTCCCCCCCTAAGCAAGTCACCTCACAGCGCTATCTTGCCCACATGGGCATTGGTCACTTATCACAGGTGGTTTTCGTGTGGCGCCCGCGCTGTTGCCATCTTGCCCTTGGCCAGGCGCGCACCCAGGATTTACGAATCGGATACGGGTGATCTTCCTTTCCCCTTCACCTTCCAAGGTGAGGAAAGGAAGGAAGAAGAATAGGAAGGGTACCATTCGTTTTTAGGAATGCCATCCAAGTTTGGCTTCTTTACCCGTGTAAGGTCACGTAGTACGCCGGGCACCGGCCGTCAAAATCTGATGTTGTTTGCCCAGAGTTTTTTGCTGGTCAAAATGCCCTCTGGCCTTGATTGGGTGGACGAAAAAAGTGGGAGGCATTGGGTCACACTTGGCAATCTCACGTTAAATAGCTGTTTGAAAACAGCAATCTAACATCGTCTCTAGTCGCTTAGGTTGGGGGAACCACGCTATTTGGGTTTGTAGCCACCCCTCTTGTGGCCACCTAGCGTCCAAAGTTCCAGGTGTCAGGGAGCCCGGGCCGCAGCCGCCTTCCCGTGTGTGCTCCACCGTCTCTGACATCGCACACATGGCCGCGAGATAGACTCAGCCTCTTCTGTGCTGATGTAGCTTCGCTCGTCGGCGTACACAGCTTTTCCGTGAGCCGTGGGGATAATGAGCCGCCAGGTGCCCTTTCCACAGTTCTTTGAACCACTGCGTGCTCTGCGTTCCAGCAGTAGTCTACCCCTGAACCGTGGGGATAATCAGCCGGCAGGTGCTCGTTCCACAGTTCCCTGAGCTGTTGTGTGCTCTGTGTTCCAGCAGCAGTCTACTCCTGAACCGTGGGGATAATCAGCCGCCAGGTGCCCGTTCCACAGTTCGCTGAGCTGTTGTGTGCCCTGTGTTCCAGCAGCAGTCTCCCAGCCATGGTGGACTGGGACCCCACCAGTCGGGTGGCGCTAGCGCAGCAGCTGAGCGCGCTTAACCCTACCGCGCTTGCGGAGGAAGCCTGCAACCTCCAGTGCGTCGGTAAGTTGTCACGAGTCCGCGCCGCCGTGCCCGGCGACTGGCGCGCTCGGGCAGACGTGTCAGGTGATGTGTCGCCTGATGCATCAAGTGATGTGTCGCCTGATGTATCAGGCGATGTGTCAGGTGATGTGTCGCCTGGCAGCTGTGGTGGAGGGACCGGCGCTCCGTGCGTCGTCAGCGGGAGCAGAGTCGAACCCGAACGATACCGCTGCTGAGGCCTGCCCGTAGTTCGAGCAACCTAGCACGATTCTGAGAGCCCTCTAGTTCTTGCTCGGGAAAAAGAGCCTTAATTCTGGAATTGGCTCCAGTAGAATCGTTTTTGGCAACAGCAATCTACTATGCAGTGCTGACTGAGGACCACAGGTATGTAGTGTGGTTTGCATAGGATAGGCAATTGCTCCCTTATGAAGTCAACGAGTCATCAATTTCAAGATAAGATGATTCGCTGTACATTGGATTAATGCGTAAGTCTGCTCGACGGGACGCGTACAGCCAATGTGGATGACTCCAATGCGTACACCAGCATGTGACAAGTATGCAACTACTGCGGAGGATCGGGGAATTGTTTCGTCGTACGAATACCCATGGTTATTACTAATCCTGCCTTTGCTGGTTTCTCCGCCCTGCTCGTAGGATCGAAAAGAGCATTGCCGGTTCCGATACACGCCGTCTGATGGCAGAAACTCAGAGGCCCGGCAGAACGCTGGGTAATCTATAACTTACAGCAAGATTGCTTTAAGTTAGCTGTCATGGTTGACGTGTCACATCCAGTCTTGCAAGCGGAGATCGCGTTCGTTTTGTTGTTTGCGAAGCTCTTCATATCCGCGAAGTGAAATCGGTGCAAGTCAAAGCAAAACACGGCACCGTGCATTCCGAATGGTGCTGTTACGGCGCCCTTGTCATTCCATGAAGAGCCATAAACTTGACCTTGCATGACCCTTACTCACAATATTACGTATGATAGCATGACGTGATCAGTATAAAGTATTACGTAATGAGTGTGGTGTATCCAGTGTGCTTACTGGTGTAAAGGT